GAAATATGGATGGGAAGGAAATACTTTTTAGGGCTGGGGTTTCCCCAACAAAACCACCAAGGCAGACTTGTTCTGGGAACAACTTGGGTGTAATTCTGCATCTGAAAAGTACTTGGTGTAGGAGGTGAAGATAGTGTTGTTGCAGGGCCTTGAATGTTGTGCTGAGGAGTATGTAGTTTATTCCATCAGCAGTGGCAACCATAGCAGATTTTCAAGCAAGTGATATAATTTGAATTTAGGAGTACAGTTCTTACTATTGAAGAGGCAATTTGCTATTTTGACCAGGCATTATAAATGAAAAAAAAAATCTGACCCCAGTTTTACAGATTCTTGTTATCCAAAGGAGAGGCAACCTTTCTGCCTTCTTGCAATAAACATTTATAGAGCCCTTGCAACAGGTAATCATTGTGCTGGGAACTGTAGGAGGATGGATGACCAAGATGAGAGTGTATGGTGCAGAGTAGGAATAAAACATGTACTTTAATCAATAAGTCAATGAATGAGACAACACCATCAACCAAGGCGGATAATTGGGTTTGGTGGTAATGAACAGAAAAAGAATTAGCTCTATTATACTTCAAGGCATCTCCACCTTATTTCATACAGCCTTATTACCCTCATCTTTACCTCTATCCAAAGGGTAGTTGGGTGGGGAGATGTGAGGTACGGAGAAAGCAATGCTTATATAGGAAACAAAGGAGGTTGCATAGAGTAAGTACAGAGCTACATATTTTGTAATTGAAAATTGTAAATTGTAATAATAGCAGTATGTACTGAAGATTTTTTATGTGTTAAACACTGTTCTAGAGTGCTTTCTATGTTTTTTTTTTTTGAGAGGTTTTCGCTATGGGGCGCGTGCGCTCGCCAGACAGGCAGAGAGAGACAGAGAGACAGAAAGCGAGAAATCACCCCCCCGGGGGGATGGTAACGCCGCAATCCCTTCTCCTCCATTCTCCTCTTGGGATCTTGGGCACTCACGCACACGCGCCCGGCATGAATTTTAAGCCACCGGGTCTGGGACACAAACTGCGGTCGACTACGTGGGAGTCCAGCGACATAGCCATTACGCTAACTGCTGATTCCCAGTGCTTTTCATGTTTTAATTGGTATAATCACAGTAGCTTTACTAGGGAGGTTTGTATAGGCCAAAGGAAATTACGTAACAAAATGGCACCAGGTGGTTAAGTTGGGTTTTGATCCCAGAACTTTGGATTTTAGAATCTACGTTCTGAACTGCTGTACAACACATTTCTTCCAATAATATGTATACAATTGTTTTATAGGAGTATATAATTGAAATGGGGGCACGATGAAACATAAGGACTTAAGGAGGCCAGGGGAAAGAGATATACAGTAACAGAAGAAATGACTTTATTTTAATATTTTTCAGTTTTTGAGGTGTTGCAGTATGACTTCATTTCCTTGGTGCATTCATAAAATAATTCACCCGTTGAAGACAATGAAGATTATTTGCAATGCTAACCAACTTTATCTGATGTCCTGCACCTAGAAGTTGTGATTTTTAAGGTGATTTTCTTACCAAACTTTTATTAGGAGGAAGAAGAATAAGAACTTATTTTGACACGTTAAAAAAGCTACACTGGGCCAGCAAGTGGTTTCTGGGCAGCTGGGTCCCATGTGCCTGACTACATGGTTTGAGTTTCAGCCTTGGCATTTTCAAAAATCATGCTGGGCTTATTCCTAAAATCCCAGGAGGAGAACGGATGAAAAGGGATTGCAGCATGGCCATCCCTTCGAGGGTGTGATTTCTCACTTTCCTTCTCTCTCTTTCTCTCTCTGGTGAAAGTATGAGCCCTATTGCAAAAATATAAAAGTAAATAAATAAAATAACTAGCCAAACAAAAAACAAAAAGCTAGCACCAAATGATAAAATTTAAATAATTTCTACACTATATGAAACCATATACATCATATAATAATAATGTAATCTTCAAGATGTTTTGTTAGATTCATAGTGCCTTATAGTTTATTTTAGTATTTTATATTGTGTATTCTTACTGTGAAGTGTATGTTTTTAACTAGATTTTCTAATTTTTGCTGGTAAATGGAAACATGATCATTATTTTTATATATTGGTTATATATATAACAACCTCTTTGAATTCTATTTGTTCTAATAATTTACATACTGTCTCGGATTACCTGTTAATTAATTACATTATAAATAAAGGCAGTTTCTTCCTTGCCAGTATTTTTTCAATTTATCTAATGGTACTAGCCAAAATCTTCAGTATAAGAAATACCAGTGGTAGAGTATTTCCTTGTCTTACTCTTGAATTCTACAAAAGTTTTACTTTTTTTCCACATTTATTTTCTTTTTATTTGTACATTAAATCATTGTATATCATTACAGCTTATAAAATGAATTTTCCCACCAAGAATACATTGCATATTAGTCCAGTTGAAGATATTATCACACATGTTATCATCAACAGGTAATTTTTGCAGTTTTGTGTCCCTTAAATATACTGTTTCTTTCTTTTTTCCCTCTATTCACTTCCTCTCATCCTCCTCCATTCCCCTCCCCACTGTCTCTAGTATTCACAATGGTTCTTCATACTTTTATATCTTCCAGTCTTTCAGTTTCTTCCATAGAGTATGGACATTTGGTATATATAAAGTGAGGGCATACAGTGTATCTCTTTTATATTCTGGCTTGCTTTGCTTAGCAGTAAATTTTCCATGTTCATCAACTTTATATCAAATGCCAAGGTCTCAGTTTTTATAGCTGAGTAGTATTCCATAGTGTATATGTGCCACATTTTTTTCAATCCATTTATCTGTTACTGGACATTTGAGTTGGTTCCATGTCTTAGCAATTGAGAATAATACTGCAATAAGCAAGGATGTGCAAGTATTGTTTCTGACTGAGAATATTCCTATCCTTTGGGTAGATAGCCAGGTATGGTATTGGTGGACCATGTGGTAGTTCTATTTGTATATCCTTTAGGAACCTCCCTACTGTTATCCATATTGTCTGTAGTAATTGAAATTCCCATCAACAGTGTAGAAGAGCTACATTTTTTCCACAACCTTGCCAACATTTATAATTCTTTATATTTAAAATTTTAGCCATTGTGATTTATTATTGTTTTATACATTCAATCACTATACATTATTTAGCTTGAAAGAGAATTTACCCAACATGAAATGCACCTCAGATCATTCCAGTTTAGAATACTATACACGTTGTCATTAACAGTTAAAAAACCATTTCTGTATTGCACAAATGTCTTATCTCTCTATTTTTTCTCCCTAATTTCGTTCCCTACAGTCTTCCTTCTCCCACTCTCCTTCTACACTGTCTCCAGTGTTCATAACTATTTTCAATGCTTTTTTGTCCTCCAGTTTTTCAGTTTCTACCAGAGTATGAGTACTCAGTATATGTTAAGGGGAGACATATGTCTCACTTTCATAGCCTGGCTTGCTTCACTCAGTAATAAATCTTCCATATTGGTCAACTTTCTATCAAACACCAAGGTCTTGTTTCTGTGGCTGAATAGTATTCCGTGGAGTATATGTGCCACACTTTTTCAATCCATTCCTCTGTTCATGAACATTTTGGTTGATTCCATGTCTTAGCAATCGTGAATAATGCCACAATAAGCAGATCTGCTGAACATTCTCCTGTCCTTTCAGTAGATACCCAGGAATAGAAATACTATATCCTATGGTAGTTCTATTTGTAGGCCTTTGAGGAACCTCCATATTGTTTTTCACAATGGCCATACCAGTTTACATTCCCACCAACAGTGTAGGAGAGTTCCCATTTCACTACAACTCCACCAACACTTACCTCTTTGTATTTTTAATCTTTGCCATTCTGACAGGGGTTAAGTGGTATCTCATTGTGGTTTTGATTTGCATTTCCCTTATGATAACTGATGTTGAGCATTTTTTCATATGCTTTTTCGCAGTTTATATATCCTTAGAGAGTTGTCTGTTCAGCTCATTTTCCCATCTTTTAATTGGGTCGATCATTTTTTTGGGGGGGAGGAGTAAGCCACTTACATTTCCTCTATATACTGCTTATCTGTCCCTTGCCTGAGGCATAGTTTGCAAATATATTATCCTATTCTGAATGTTGCCGATTAACCCTAATTTTTTTTCTTTTGCTGAGCAGAAGCTTTTTATCCACTTGTCTATTTGGGGGATTATTGTCTGTGCTTTATTATAAAATGAATTATAAAATTCATTTTATAAGCTGTAATGATATACAATGGTTTAATGAACAAATAAAAAATTTAAGAAGTCTTTGTTTGCTCCTGTCTCTCCAAGAGTTTCCCCTGCATTGTCCACCAGTAGTTTTATACTTTGAGGCCTCGGGTTTAGATCTTTGATCCACTTTGAGTTGATTTTTGTTAATGGTCAGAAATAGGGGTTCAGATTCATCCTTCCACAGGTGGATACCAAGTTTTTCCAGCCCCTTGCTAAAAAGATTTTCTTTTCCCCACTGAATTCACTGGTGCCCTTTGTGAAAAATCAGTTGGCTGTATGTTTTAGGGTTTATTTCTAGGGTCTCTATTTTGTTCCATTGGTCCACATGTCTCTTTTTGTGCCAATGCCATGCAGTTTTGATTATCACAACTGTGTAATATATTTTGTAGTTGAGGAGTGAGATGCCACCTACTGAGATGCCACCTACTCCTCTTCTTGTGCAGTATTGCTTCATGACTGGAGAAGATTCTGGGTATAGTTTCTATGCCTTTGAATTTTTTTTTTTTGAGAGGTTTTCACTATAGGGTGCATGCGCTCACCAGAAAGAGAGAGACAGAGATAGAAAGCGAGAAATCACCCCCCCCAGGGGGAATGGCCACGCCACAATCCCTTCTCCTCCATTCTCCGCCTGGGATCTTGGGCACGCACACACATGCGCCCAGCGTGAGTTTAAGCCACTGGGTCCGGGACTTGAACCGCGGTCGACTATGTGGGAGTCCAGTGACATAGCCATTACACTAACTGCTGGTCCCTATGCCTTTGAATTTTTTTTTAAAGAATTATTTATTTAACTTTATTTATTATTATCATTATTATTTTCCAGTTTTGATCAGAGAGACACAGAGAGAGAGAGAGAGGAAGTGAGAAAGCAAGCCACCAGGTCCGAGACTTGAACCGTGGTTGGCCATGTGGGAGTCCAGCACCTTTAACCACCATGCCACTTGCCGGCCCCATATGCCTTTGAATTTTTAAAGGCTTGTTTTGTGCTCTATTATGTTGTCAGTCTTCAAAAAGTTTTATGCAGGGATGAGAAAATGTATATTTTGTGGTGGTTGGGTGTAAAGTTGGAGAGATGTCTATCAAGTCCATTTTATTTAAGATATTATTTAGATACCTGTACTTTTTTTCTTATTTTTTTGTCTAGATGATCTGTCCAAAGGAGATAGTGGGATGTTGAGATCCTGAATGATTAGTGTGTTGTAGTTTCTCTCTTCCTTTAGAGGTAATAGCCTTTCTTTCTTATATTTCAGTGTTCCCAGGTTGGGTGCACATATATTTTTAAGTGTTATAACTTCTTGGTGTATGAGCCCTTTTATTCCTATATAATGTCTTTGTCTCTTCTTACACAGTTTTTGTCTTAAAGCTTTTGTCTGATATCAGTATTGTGACTCCAGCCCTTTTTTGATTTCCATTTGTGTGGGATATCTTTTTCTAGCCCTTCACTTTTAGTCTATGTATGTCATTATCCATGAGGTGCATTTCTTATAGGTGGTTTTTTTGAATCCATTCAGCAAGTCTTTTCCTTTTGACCGAAGAATTGAATCCATTCTTTTTTTGCCTGCACTGTTTCAGTTGATAAGTCTAATGTTATCCTAATAGAGTAACCTTTGTAAGTGACTTGTCATTTCTCTCTTGCCATTTTTAGAATCTTGTCTTTGTGTGTAAATTTTTTTTTCTTTTTTTTTTTACCATTCTGGCTATGATGTGCCATGGAGAGGATCTTGTTGACTCTATTTGGAGTCCTTTGTATTTCTTGAGTTTAAATGTCTGAATGTATCTCTAAGTTTGTGAAGTTTTCTGCAAGTATTTTATGGAATAGCTCTTCTATGACCTTGCCTGATTTTTTACCTTCTGGAATACCTATTATTTGGATATTTAAGTGTTTGATAATATCTAGTGTTTCATGTATGTTGTACTCATTTTCAAAATTATTTTTTCATTATTTTTGGTGGTTTTATCTAAATCAAGGTTTTGTCTTCCCATGGTCTAGTCTGCTATTAGTACTTTTGAGGGAGGTCTTGATTTCCTGTATTACTGTCTTCATCTCTAGAAGTTCTGATTGTTCCTTTTTTATGGTGTCTATCTCCTCCTTCAAATCCTAGAAAGACTTCCTCATCTCCGTCACCATGGATATTCTAACTCTATTTCTGACATTCTTGCAAATTATTTTATGCTGTCTGTGGTTGAAGAAGAGTTGCTCTGTTCCATTGAGGAAGAGGTATTTTCTAGTTTTCCCATACTCCTTGTGCCACTGTGCAGGTTTCTAGTCACCTGATAGGTTATAGACTT